CAGAGCCTCTTTTGAAAAAGGCGATGAGTGTCACGAATGAAGCTGTAGAAGTTAAGAAGGATGCATGTGCTCAGTATGGGGTTTCTATTATGACTGATGCTTGGAGTGATAGGAAAAGAAGAAATCAAATGAATTTGCTTGTGAATTGTCCTTTAAGGACTGTTTTTCTAAGGTCTATTGATGCCTCTGATCATATCCATGATGCCCATTACATATTCCAAGTTTTATAGAAGGGAATCAAGGAGGTTGGGGAGCATCATGATGTACAGGTTGTCACAGACAATGCTGCTCCTAATGTTGCTGTAGCTAATTTGTTGCGCATAACTTATCCTAGAATTTTTTGGACACCATGTGCAGCACATTGTAAAGACCTCATGCTTGAGACTCATGGCGATTTAACCGAGATATCAGGTGCAGTGAAGAAGGCAAAGTCAATTACATATTTCATTTATGGCCACCATCTCAACCTCAACATGATGCGTAGATTTATAAAGAAGAAAGAGATTGTGAGGCCTGGGGTCACGAGATTTGCGACCATGGACTTAAGCTTAGATAGCATACATTCGAGGAGAGTGCAACTGAAGCAGATGTTTACCTTGGATGACTAGAGAGCATGCAAGTGGTCCAAAAACGTTGGGAAGAAGGTGAGAGATATTATCCTTTCTAAGGATTTTTGGAAAGGGGTGAATCGCGCTCTTAAGGTATTTTTTCCTTTTGTCAAAGTCCGTCGCATGGTTGATAGTGACAAGCCTTCTATGGGCTATATATATGACGCTATGGTGAAACGCAAAAGAGAGATAGCCCAAAATTTTGATGATGATGAGAACTGCTACAACCCTATTTGGGAGATTATTGATGAAAAGTGGGATAGGCAGCTACATCGGCCATTGCATGCAGCTGGTTATTATTTGAACCCAACTTTTTTTTATGTTGACAAGGATATACACACAAATGACACAATTATGATTGGATTTAATGAGTGTGTAGATGTACGAGTCCCTGATCTTGATATCCAGGATATTATATGCGCTGATGAGCTGATAAATTACAAGTGCTTATTAAAGCCTTTTGGGAGTCCAATGGCGATGAGGCAAAGGACCAAAATTGATCCGGGTAGTAATAATATTCTTAAGTTCATCGAGTTCAAGTAATCAAGTTTCATTTTTATAATTCTATTATTTATTTATGATTTTATTCTATATCTTTGCCGCCAATTGGTGGAGCCAATATGCGTGTAGTTCTCCATTCAAATCTTAAACCTAACCACTTCCTCATCCGGTTGTGAGCCCAATTGGAGTACTTTTGAAGGGGTAAAATCGTAAGGGTAATTTGTATAATTGTATTAATAATACATGAACCATAGATTTTAATTAGTTTCATTTGATTTTGTTAGATTCATACAAAGAGAAGGAACAGGCTTGAATCAAAGAGGCTCAATGACCTAGTCTATGTCAAGTATAATCGATTCTTAAATGACAGGTTTACTAAGAGAGATAAAAGAGACCCCATCAGATCAAAAAATATGGACAATGCTATGAAGTAGTTAGTTGATGATGATAAGGCCAAAGGGCATGAAGGATTGACATGGGACATGGTCATGGATGTTTCAGGGACATCAGTTAACCCTCCTAAGGCCACTAGATCTTCTACACAGAGAATGAGGGTGGAGGAGGAAGAAGAGGCATTCAGAAGAGACGGATGAAGATGACCAATATGTCGAGAAGGGTAGCGACTCCGATGAATATGATGTCAATGCAGCTGACCCTAACTGTTCCGATGATGAATGATGAAAGTTGAATAATTATTAAACTTTGAACTTTCATTGAACTATGAATGGTAAATTTTAAGTTTTAATTGGATATGGATTATGGACCGACTTATGGTTATGCTTATAGAGTGTGTGCTAATGTGTAGCATACTTTGAATTTGTATGTGTCCTAAATATCTAATTCTTATATTTTATATAATATATAACTGTAGAATCCTTTTGGGATTCAATTAGGCCGCCCAGGTTCTGGACGCCCGCCTAGACACTGGGCGGCCCCAGTGCCTAGAACCCCCAAGCCACCTAGGACCCTCCTAGCGCTTTTTGAAACACTGCATGTAAGTCACTCTCGCATCACAAACATGTGCACGACGTCTAGCACACAGAGAAAGAATAATCTTCTTCCAGCTTCGAAACAATTGTAAATTCTCCCTGACAAGATAATGATCATTGAGCAAATCTTCTTGCAGGTCTCATGGGAGTGGTCAAAGAACAAGGGTTCTTCCTTTTTCTAACTATCGCATCTACAGAATATCCAAGGAAAACCCAAGTTACGCCTCTTAAAAGGAAATAATACAAACCCTTGCACAAACAAAAATATGTGGCGTGCAAGTTGTCAAACCTGCCATACATCATGTGTCTGGCAAGACAACACGAATAGCTTAAACAGTCAATAATGGTTACAGAGCCCCCCCAAAAGTTCAAAACGTGAGGACTTTCATCCTCCTGTGTCTCGTTGATTATTTAGAAACGTTAATTGTCTTTTTCAAATTGTAGCCACGTAACCGGCATAGGTTTTATACTTTCTTGCAGTTTTCCAAGAAACTTCATTTATTTCATTTCGAATTATCCAAATTGTTTATGAATATGAAGGAATCATGCAGCCCGAGAAGATGACAAAATCCTTAACTCTACGAGCTTTGAACCTAAAACATGTCAAACATGTAGATATTGTGTAAAATTATTGATGCTATCTCCAAACCATCCTAAGCCTTCTTAAAGCATACCCACTAGAAGTATCTTTGAAAGGCAGAAATTGACTGCAAAGGTGGTACCAAATTCTTACATCAATATTCAGGTTGGCTCGAATCTTAATTAGTGCAATTCTGTGACAAGGTGATGCAGGTCAAGATGCCCTTTATTTTTGAATTTTACTTATTAAATTTTAGGGATGTATTTTTGGAACTTTTTAGGATTATTTTTTAAGGTTTTTTTTTGGGATTCTAGGGTTTTTTTTTATATATTTAGGATTTTAGGAGTTGTTTAGAAAAGTAATTAAGAGTGCTTATGGAATATTTGGTTTCATTGGGGATAAAAACATCATTACAATTTTGAATTTAAGTTGGGACTAATTAGTCAATTTTGATTTTTCCTAAGGCTATTTTGGATTATACCAAATAAAATATAAATAAGAGGCATATGGGTCCTTTAGGGCACATTTGGTATATGCATGAAAATACTTCTGAAAATATTTTCATGTGGAATAAACTCCCTCATGTGATTAGGTGAGGGAGGTTTTTCAGGACTAATCATTCAATTTTATTTGTGCCCAAGGCTATTTTGAATTACGCCAAATAAAATATAAATAAAAGGCATGTGGGGCCGTTAAGGCACGTTTGGTATATGCATGAAAATAATTCCGAACCAAAAGCATTTTCATGTGGAAAAAACTCCCTCATGTGATTAGATGGGAGAGTTGTAGGGATCTGATCTATGATGACGAACAGAATTTCATAATCGAACCAATCTTTGGCGAAGAAAAAAATGAAGGCCTCCAAGGACAATCAATAGGTGAAGTTCTTGGTTCGACCATGAAATCCAATGCCCATCCAGAAGATGCTCCATTGGTCTTTTCTAGGGTTGAGCCAAGGCAATTTCAGCAGGGACATGACACTAAACTATTGTGACTGTACCCAACGTACATATCACGGTTAATCCATCAACATATAATTACCATTTACTCGAGGGTTTCTCAAAAGTGTTTATAAATATATCAACAAATTGCAAAGACAAAGTTTCAAAGCAGAATATGTGTTTCAATGCACAAGTCCCAGGATTATGTTTCCAATCGGGTTGAAGAAGACCATGGGCTTAGCAAAGAATTCATCTTAAGCCTATTTCAGAACTCAAGGACGAGTTTGTCCAACCAAGAGATTGATACAAGGTAAGATGTCTCTTATTTTAGATTTTTTTTATTAAATTTTAAGGATGTATTTTTGGAATTTTTCAGGCTTATTTTCTAGAATTATAGGTTTTTTTTTTTTTGGGGGGGGGGGGTGGAGGGGGGGATTTTAGTGTCCTTTATATGTTTAGGATTTAGGAGTTGTTTAGAGAAACAGTTAGAGCTCTTATGGAATATTTTGTTTTATCATGGGTAAAAATGTCATTACAAATTTTAACTCAAGGATGAGCTTGTCCAACCAAGGGAGATTTTGATACAAGGCAAGATGTCTCTTATTTTAGATTTTTCTTATTAAATTTTTAAGGATGTATTTTTGAAATCTTTCAGGCGTATTTTCTAGAATTATAGGTTTTTTTTTTTTTTTTTTTTGGATTTTAGCATCCTTTATATGTTTAGGATTTAGGAGTTGTTTAGAGAAACAGCTAAAGCTCCAATGGAATATTTTGTTTTATCACGGGTAAAAATGTCATTACAAATTTTCTTTTTGAGTTGAGACTAATTATTCAATTTTGTTTATGTCTAAGCCTATTTGGGACATTGTATCCCAATAAAATATAAATAAGAGGTGTGTGGTGTCTTTAAGGATCATTCCACAAGAGTTTAAATGGAGAGAGAGAGAGAGAGAGAGAGAGAGAGAGAGAGAGAGAGAGAAGAAAGAAGGTCTCTAACTTGAAGCCCTAGTTAGGTGTGAGGAAGAACCCAGGTTCTTTAGAATTGTGTGTGTGTGTTTACCCTTCAAACTATTATTTTTCTGTTTTTCTCATCAAAAAATCCTCATCACAAGGAGAGTCAGAATGTAGCCAGAGGCCCATATTAGAGACAGCTTGCATGTCCCGATCCATTGCATAGTGAGAAGGTTTAATTGACACAGAAATGGCTGTTTATTTGGATTAAAAATCAGATAGCAAATAACACGAGGGAGGGAACAGTTGACATCAACAGTCACATAATTATCCATTGCTTTCCAAAGCTAAGAAAATTTGTTGAAAATTTATTTGAAACACATACATCACAATTTGAAAGTTTAAGCTGCACACAAAACTAAGAACTTACTTTTCCCAATACAACACAGCAATCACTGATAAGATAGCGGGTTGAGACATTGTCTGTTGCGTCTATCACCACGTCATATCTTGCAATAGTAGTAGAGCGGAAAGCAAATTATTAGAACACAATTCACATTAGAAGGACCATATTTACATTCAAAATAGGAATTCACTTTAACACAAATTCAAATAAAGAAAGTAAAATCACTGGTTTTTTTTTGTTTGAAATGACAGTAAGAATTAATTGACACACTGAATGCAAGCCTAACTAAGTATGTGAAAGGCCATATTGAGACAATGAATCCAAAGGATACTTGCTAACTATGTCCAAAGCATTTTGACTACCCAAAGCTTCTGGATATTCTACAATCCGAATGGTGGAGTTAATCCTGCAATCAAGTAAAGACCGGAATGAGCATCACAAATCAATTCCGTCTGATATATACACATAATCCGTTCTTGGGGATACATCAAAAAAGTCGCTCATACGAAATCAGATAATTTTGGTTAGAAAAATGCATACCCATGACATGCTTCAGCAGCAGACTTCACCTTCGATTGTCCAATATATGCTTCATTGTGAATGATCTGAAATACAAAACAAGAACAAATGTTTACCATATTGGAAACCACAATTTAATCTAATTATCCTCCCTGCCTACTAAGAAATAGAATAAAGCATATAGTAGCCCAACACGATGAAATAATTAATTTATTTGTTACACAAAATCGATGTCCTACAGAAAAGATCATAACAATGTAAACTTTTATGGATATTCCCTCCAAAATAAAAGTACATCCAGATATAATCATTAATTCCATTACATACATGTTGCATGGACACTGGTACATATGTCAATGTCTGACATGAGTACGGGATGTCAGATTCGTCATACCATGCAGAAGAGGATTGGGAGACATGGCTATAATATGAAGAGACAACCAAATCCAACAATGTTTTACTAGTATTTCATTTCATGATGAGGAGCAAGATATGATCACTTATACCTTCATTGGCTAATCCATAGATATTTTTTAAGTTCCACAGACATTTTCAAAGTTCACGTGTACTCAAAATGAAAAATAAACAAGTATCTAAAATGATATAACCAATGATTAATAAAACAAGAAGAATCCAAAAGAATCTGCATTGATGATTATGTCGATATGGGTCAAGCACGGGTAGAATGTGATATCCTGAATTTGACCAGGTGGGAGAACGAAAAAAATACCCTTCTAAAGAGTGGGACCAGTTATTTTCAAGATCCTTGATTATATATGAAGGCTAAACATATATGTAACCTTCACAACACTAGGAAGCAAACCAGTAGCCAAAATATTTCTTGAGGTGAAGAAAGTTGTAGGTAAAACCCCTAGGGAAAACCATAGTTATCAAACACGGCAGAATAACCCTTCATGTGGCCTCATCAAACGGATCCCCATATGGCGCCCCGCATTTGACCTATGCAAGCTAGCTTGATGCCCCCACATAGGCATGCTAGCTGGCATATGCAGGCACATCACTCAACATGGTGCACCAGCATATGCAGCAGCCTGCCCGTGGGCAGAATAATGCCCACTAGCCCCAGCAGTTTGGCCAACCCCTTCCCCCAACAAAAAAAGGAACCCTTAGAACCACTTTTCCATGCTTCAAGATAACTAAAATGCAAACAAAAAAAAACAAGAATCAATTGTTTTTTCAATTTTGAAGATTTCGATAAAATTTGTCGATTTTACACCTGCACAAGATTTCAATAAAATTCAAACGAAAACACATGCATATTCCGATTTCCTAAACAACCCTCCATGACACATTTGAGTGGATTGAGGCAGACCTATAAACGATAGTCGTTTTCTTGATTAATAGACTACTATCCAATGCAGTTAGGGGCAGTTAGGGGGGATAGTCCATTTTCTACACTAAATGAAGTACATCTTGATTATTCATGATTAGGGACTTTTGGATGCATATTTTATGTCTACAATGAGAAGTCTTTACGTAATTTGCACCGAAAACAGAAATTTACAGTGTTCTTGGCAATGAAGAGCATTATAAAGCTTATAGATGTTTCAGACCCAGAACCAAGAGGATACATGTACCCTGGTATTTTTTTCAAATGAAACCTTATTTCATGTGAGTGTTCTCGTACGCAATGAACCCAATGCATAGCAAGCACTTTCCTCTTGCCAAATTGGGCATACAGTAGTGTTATTATGAACAAAATCGAAGCCCTCGAATGAAGATACATATATCTATTATATTATAAGCAAGAAGGTGAGCCTACAAGTGTTCCTTTTATTGTTGAGATGACCCTCTTTATTCTTGCGACAAGTGTCCCTTTTATTAAACTAACTTGATGCTACTAACTTCCCGGTTTAAAATATACAAACATCCCGGTATGAGGACGTCATCTTATGGGGCCCCTTAGCAGATCAGATCCTATGCCATTGGAGTTACCTTATGAAGAAAAAGATATGACTGCTAACAGCAAGGAACAAGATGAGAATGGTGAAAGAAGATAATGGCAAAGAAGATAATAGCAATTAGAAATCCAAGTTATGTCTCATGAATTAGGAATGATCAAACATTAGTCATATACACCACCTCCATGCTTTCACAGGAGATGTTGCTTCAACTACATGATCGTTGCACCCATATTGGAATATGGGAGCTTTTACACAAGTCCCACTCTCAAGTTTCCAATGCACAAGTATATCAATTGAAGGTTGGTATACAAAATACCAAGCATAACTCGTCCCCCAACAAATTTTCAGCCTACTTCAAGTGGACTTGTAATTTGCCCAACTTTGCGAACAAATCAGGCAGCAACAATGTGTTGGTATCATTTGGACAATACATTCGATGTGTGGAGCCATGGGACAGGAAGGCTCTTCAGCTACTCACAAACAATCTTGAAGTTCTTCATCCTCCAACCATGACCAACATGAATCCCTAACCACTGCAATGCCACAACTTGATGTCCGGCCTTTCAATGATGATTCATGAATCCCAAATTCCGGTGCAACAAACCATGTCTCAAGCGATGCAATAAGCTATCTAATTGATCCCCAGTTAAGTTTGAGAGCAAAGAAAGAAGGTAATATTCAAGCATAAGATAAAGTAAATGTAGATGTCTTTTTTTTCATTCTATACAAATCTGATGCAGGGAGAAAAGGGGGGAAAATTAATCAACAATAATAGAGAAATAACATGGCTGTAAATCAAGCAAAGAGAAGAACTTTCTTCTTTCATAAAATCAAATTTATTCCAATAACATATGCCCCCAAAAATATGATACCCAACCTTTTATAAGGTTATGAAACCCTAATTTAACTTGAGATCCAAGTAAACATGTAAGACTCTAAAAAACCCTTAAAACAATATTATAATTCTAAAAATACTCATGCGAACAGTGACATGTGAACAGTAATGTGTGAATAGTAACACGTGCACAGTAACTGTGAACCATGAACAGTACTTGAGAACGGTAAATAAAAAATAAAAACCCTATAATCCCTAAAAAACTAAAAAAACACCCTAGAAATAAACCCTAAAACTAAAACTACAATATACATCCTTGAAATTGAATAAAATTTCAAAATAAGAAGAATTTTGCCCTCCATTATTCTCCCATGGTTGGAGAAAACTCATCCTCGAGTTTTGAAGTGTGTTAACATGAACTCAACATCAAAACCACCTTCTTCAACCTTCTTTTTCTTTCTCCGCTCAAATATTATTCGAGGTAAAAGAATTCCTCAAGAAACAGATCTTGATATGCATATTGAGAAATCAATGCAAAATCATCAAATATGGATTTCCTTGAACTCCCTTTGAAAACTGTGTGGGAAACTTCAAACTCAATTTTTTGTTTTCTAAAGGCTTATCTATTTCATTACTCTCTGAAACCAGGGCCACAATTTGCAGATTCTGAGCCGACCACACTTCCACTGCACTATTATGATTCCAATTCAGATTGAAAATGACTCGGCCTTGCTTGTGAATGTCATTCAGAATCAATGCAATGCTCCACGGAGGCTAAAGATGATTGTAGACAATTGTTGCACCAAACTATCTTCTCATCGATGGTCCATTATACATGTCTTTCATGAGGTTGTTGATGCCCTAGCTAAGAGAGCAGCTGTTGGCCCCAGTGCTACTGTGTGGCGTCATAGACTACCAGATTTTCTTTCCTCTTTTTTATTACATGATCTGGCGCAATTTCCCTACCATAGGGTTGTATCTTAATTGTTTTTCTCTGATTTTTTATTTAATAAAAAACGGGTAGGGGGCCTTCTCCCCCACTTACTTACCCAAAAAAAAAATGTCCTAAATCTCCTAAATGTTCCACCTCTTTGATATCCTTAAGATCTTTAACTTTTTCTTCGTCATTGATTCACCCACATAATCTCGATCATCATCATAGATTGGATCTTTTACAAGATCTTGTTCATCATGTAAGTATGTATCGAAAATTGGGGGCATATCTCAACAACTTGTTGATTTTTAATGCGACCTACACTAAAATTTACATCATTCTCCTTTAGATCATATAGATCAACTAAATCCCATGATTTGTTTTCCCAAACATGAGGCTCCCAACGTGGAGCGCGTGCATCAAATAGGTGGTTGAAGGAAGCTTCATCATTTCACCCCAACTCTGAGTCGGACTCTGATTCGCGCCATACTCCTCCCGATTTGGATCTATCCCCATAGATTCCTCTTCGTTAAGGGCACGTTGTTGCGGGAGCCGCTTGCGAAGTAATAGCTCAATAACCCTCTCCATCAAGTTGTTGATTTCCTAACACAATTGGATTAGATCGGCATCCCTACGGCTAAGACCTCCACGACAAGCCATCGCAATATCCAGCCGTCCTCAAACCACACACTGATACCACTTTGATGCAAGGAAAATTGAAGAAACATAGAAAAAATCAGCAAGAAACACCTTGACACAAGCAATTTTGGAGAAACCTTAAGGCTTTCTCCCACCCAAGACTCAACCCTTAGGCTTCTTTTACAAAACAAAGTCTTTATTTTCTTAAACAGGAATATATGAATACCTCTCCAGCCCATCCACCCCCTTATTTATAATAAAAAAATTTATTGTTTTGAATAATATTTGTCCATACAATTGACTTTTTGACCAAATGGTCATCACTTATGTATAACTTGAAACTAAACTCCTTAACTTAAATTTAAATTTTGTAATGACAAATTTACCCCTGTGAATAGTACCCATGAATAGTATTCATAAATAGTTCCCATGAAATAAACAAAAAAATATAAAAACCCTAGAATCCCTAAAAAAATAAAAAACCTAAAAATAAGCCTTAAAAGCAAACTACAATATACATCCGTTAAAGTTGAATAAAAAAAAAACATAAGAACATTAGAGCTTATTTTAGGGTTTTTAGTTTTTTAGGAATTCTAGGGTTTTATATGTTTTTGTTTATTTCATGGAAACAATTCATAAGTACTATTCATGAATACTACTCACAGGTACTATTCACAGGGGAAAAATTGTCATTACGAAATTTAAGTTTAAGTTAGAGAGTTTAGTTTATACCTAAGTGATGACCTTTTCGTC